CTGTGCGTGAAGTATGATCAAATAGAAATGTAGATCGTCCAGGTCCAAGACGAGGCTCTCCAGCTCCAAGGTGGTTCTTGGTAAGATGGTGATCCCAACCACGAACGTAAGTTCGTGCTTGGGATCTACGTCGGTCCGGGGTATGTAGCAAGTTTAGCGAAGGGGAGCAAGTTTGATGAGATTAAGTCTCCCTATGCACATATTGACTTCGTCAATCCCTGAGACCCGGTCCAAATCCAATCCGAATCCTTTATCGTGGTCAAACGAAAGAAAACAATACCTTTCTAGAGAGAAGGAACCACTCTGTTCATGGAGAGGACACCTTCGTCCAGACAGCCGTGGATTATCTTATCTTCAGGACCAATTCCGAGCAACTATAGCAGTTTTATGGGTTAGCTCCGTTGAAAAATATTTGTTTTCAAATATAGTATTATAAGATGTTACAAGTCATCTCCGAGCACAATATGAGGTCAATATAATTTCATACGAGAAGAAATTATCGAATTAGATCATTATAGATTCCTGTCAAATTTACACGGTAAATTTACATAAATGTATCATAGAGTCACGACCACCCTTGAATAACATCAGATCGGGTTCTATTTTGAAAGAACCATCACAACTTTCAAGAACATCGCACTAATAATTGAATGATTTCATTGATGGTTTACTCCGTATCTAAATAGATTTTGGTAATTGTAATACATCAGAGAGCTGAATGTTTGATGGGACCCAATAAGTTCCAATTTACCCGATGATACCTCTTCCCACGGGTCACCTTCAGTTATGTTCCCGAAAAGATAAATTTTTTCCCGAAGTTAAGTTAGTCAAATTTCCTAATCTTCTTATGCAAGAGCCCGATTTCTCACATGGCAGAATGATTTTATGGGCGTAATCAACTTACTCCTTGCTTTTTCTTCTAAAAGTCTTGGCCGAAGTCACTTATTTTGGTCCTTGAAATGCCAGTGTGGAGAATTCACTTTTGAACAAAGAGACTCATTGCTTTTACTAACTCAAAACAATTACAATAACTCGTAGTACAGTAGAACATTGGTGACGGTGTACTGAACTGTAGCCGCCAAAAGGGTCCGTGGTGTAAAATAGAACTTATTGGGTCCATCAAATAATTCTCTCTTGTATTTTCGGATCCAAGATTTGTATTTTCCTGGTATATATTAGCTGCGACGAGAATCTTAGTCTAGTTGAAATACCAATCCCTGTTGGCTTTGTATCTCATTAACAACTTTTCCACAGATTTGTTCTAGCGTTTTCCCGCACCTTTTGGTCAGGTTTAAATTTTGTTTTATTTTGGAATATAAGTTCAAATATTGTAAGGCGACATTATTTTTTTATTTTTAAAAAATAAATTCAATTATTTATTTGTAAGTAACTCAGTGATATGGATGTAGGCATTTGATGAAGAGATTATTGCGACCTGTTCACTTTGTGCTAGCTACGAACTCATTTACTTTCATGTGCTCACACATAGCCGCGAATCATGTAATATGTAACGTGAACTTTAGAATTTCCATGACCTCAATAATTTATATTGGAAAAGTAAGAAATGATATCGATATGACACTTGATATGCAGAGGTGAAAAATAATATTTCGTTGACATTTTTCACACCAAGGATCGAGTAAAGCACATGATTTTTATTGAATTTCTATCAAAGTGATAAATATGCAGTTCTTTTGTTTTAAGCAAGTTTTAGAGCTAGATTTATACATTTAAGTTTATTGCATAGGTTTTTTAAAACTTTCTGAAAATTTTAATCTCTAATAATAAATATCAACCTCAAATATGCTCCATTTGAACTAAAATCTTTAATAGAAACTGATAAATATCCAAAAATGAATTTATTGTGGCTAAGAAAAAGTCAGGAGTCTTTAAAACTCAACGCTAAAATATCACACATTTTATTCAGTTTAATATAGTCCGAATTTGCTGGATATAATTTATCGAGCTTGAATGAAGTCGAAATATTCAATTTCAGATCATCAAATAGAACTTTAAACACAATCCAGACAACAATTTGATTTAAAAGATTTTCTACGGCTTATATTTATGTAAGAGATGATAATCAGTTGATGCAATGAAAGCATCAAATATAGATTTCAGTTTAAACTTTTTTCAATTCTAGAGGCTCTTGTTATGCTTTACGTGAATTTCATTTCAACCTGGATTTAAAATCATTGAATCATGAGTCATAAGATTTTATTTCAAATTAATATTTTTTTAAAAAAAATTTCTTGATTTTATTTCAAAATGAAAATATTTCAAATTTTATCAATTTTCTGATTATAAATTAAAATCTCATTGGTCATTTGTTCATATCCTCAAAATTAAATGATATTTTACTTGATTTTTAGTGTTGACATTTATTGTGTTTTCACAATTTTTGTTACCTCATATCATGATATTTTTATTTTATACACATATATGTTAAAAAAATTAGTAAAATAGCATGGAAAAATCAACACGCATTAATTTTTTTCTTTTAGAATGAAGTTGATGATATTAAGGCTACACAAAGTTAATACCTAGAATTTAAAGATTTTTCACATGTTATTGATACAAACTTGTAAATAAAATAGTTTATGTCACATTTGTAAATGTAGCCATTTCAAATTTTAAAATGGCTTAAATATTAAAATTTAGATTTTTTAAAATTTCAAATTATCATGGAGATTTAGAATGATTAAAATATCATTTCTTTTCTTTTCAGAGAATATTTCTATTGTAATGACTTATATGGCTTTCATGTTGTATTTATGTTGCCTTGCAAGGTTGTGTGTTTCTCTATTTTTTTTCACTAATGAATCAAAGATTGCAAACCTTGACAACTTCATTACATGTGTTTTTGAATACTTTTATATCATATAAAAACTTTAAGATTGTCAATGAATGATATATTATATCCAATTTTTTAATAGAATTTTTTTCCTTGTTTATAACTCAAAGAGCAATGTAGAATATTCAAATTTTTAATTATCTTAACCATACAAATATGATGTGTTATATGATCTCAATACTGTTTAAGATAAGATTGTGTTCACTTAAATAATCTTCATCCACTAGAAACTTCAGAAGTGATGTTTGACATAATTTATTATGTCAAACGCTAATTCAAGAAAGAAATATCTTCTTATATGTTTCACAGTTGGAAGCGTTCAATATATAAATATACACCTATTTTCTGCGAAAGCTTCAAAAATTTATGCATAGATTTTCATATAAACATATATTTCTACAAATTCTCTTTTGAATGATTCTGTTTGATATCGATGAATAAAGAAGTTTTCATATATATAGTGGACTAGTCACCCTCAACATTTTTGTTATTTGTCAGTTTATGACTTAGGATAAGTTTATATTAAGTGTAAACTAGAAGAGTATTACTGTAAGATTGAATAACTTATAAATACTTCACGTGTGGACTGGATTTGGCTTATAAAATTCTAGCATTTTACATGTTTGTTCATTCAAGAGAATCGAGGATTATAATCGTATTCTATGGAAATCAAGTCCTACTAAATTTACAGTCGTTATTTTCCTCACTTTTGTGGATTGTCATTCTATGATGTAGTAGATTAGTTGATTCACACAAAGCTTATTTTATAAACGAATAGTTTCTCACTTGGTTTGATCTATCTGCATCCTTCATCTGTGACTGTTTGATTATATAATATGTTCATAAGTTGTGGTTTCATAATGCAAAAGACATTTTTTCTTCATATCAATGTATTTAAATAGATGTCTTTTAAAAAGATAAGATTTTAACTTCGCTTGATTCATGAGAATCGATAGGATGGAGTTTTAATTACATGATTTACGAGTGTGTCTTGTGTTCGGACCTAACTAAGGTAATCGAAATGATGATTTGTGATATTCCGACTACATTGTATACGAATACGGTGTCATAGACAGATGACAAAGTTCTCTTATGTGATTGTGTTATTCTACTCACTTTCAGCTTCTTTCTTCTTTAAAATTTGGCCTCAATATTTTAGAATTTCTATTTGCTTGCAGATTTTAACTTAATTTTTTCAACTAAAAGCTTGGTCGATCTTGTTAAGGTCGAAGTCGAAAGTCAATACGGTAGTATGTGCATAGCGATTAATACTCAGCTGGGCACCACAGGTCGTTATGTGTGGTCACTTAACATGGTGTCATTTGCAAAACTATGGCGGTGGCTGCAGTCTCATGAGCAATGGGATTATGCTTAACACCTGACTCTGTAACATTTTGGAAACAGCATTATATCAGAGATATATTATTGATGAGATTTGACATACGCTACATGATGTAGCACATGTACATAAATGCCAAATTTGACCAATCGTGCATTCCTAATGTAATTTACAATTTTTAATTACTCTCCAATCTCGAAAAGAAAACATTGAAGCCTATATCGAGTTAGACATCGTAGCAAACGTGTTGAATATGGATCATGCAGGTGAAGTTTGAATCTATACATATACGAAAATATACTATTGAGATCCGACTTTAAAATATTCGTAAAGAAATACACTGTCAAGAAATTCACATAAGGTTATAGTGTAATATAGTGAATACAAATCGTTTATTGGACTAGTGCGTGCAATCCGATTGGTTATTACAGCTTGGATAAATACTTTGCATATATTGGACCCTACAGTTATGTTGCAGTTTTCGTCTCTCTATGTAGAAATTGATGGGGCCTTGCCATCCGTTCTGTTTTTCTACTGTACTCTAAGAGTCAGTGATTCAGATAGTGACTGTCCACGACTGCCGCCTTGCTGTTCGGTAAATCTGTTGTCGCTATTGGATTACACGGAAGAGGCTTGCTTGTCGAGTGGATCGCTAGTCACAGTGTCGATTTCGAGTCGTTTGACTTTTCAGCTCGTGGGCTGAAAGACCACAACGATGAGCCGCAGCTGAATGTATAAATAAGGAAGCATTTGAGAAGGCTCACATCTTCTTCGTAGATGATCACAAGCACAAGCACAAGCACAAACATGGCGAGATCAGTTTTCCTCTGCCTGACATTACTACTAATCTGCCTTCAACTACTATCAAAATCCCCTGTTGCGGAGGCCTGGCTACCTTATCAGAACCCCATTCGAGGTGTGAATTTGGGTGGTCTGTTTGTCGTAGAAAAATGGATGATGGTTGATCAGTGGGCTTCCATCGGCTGTGGAGCCTACAATGACGAGTGGGAGTGTGTCCAGGCCCTGGGCCAAACAGCTGCAGATGCCGCGTTCAAGAGGCATTGGGGCTCGTGGATCACTCAAGCTGACATTACGCAGATCGCGAGTTTAGGCCTCAACGCGGTTCGGATCCCAGTCGGGTTCTGGATGAAAGAAGATCTCGTTCGATCGGACGAGCACTTTCCTCGAGGAGGCCTCGCCTACCTGGAAAACGTATGCAAAATGGCCAGAGATGCTGGACTGTACATCATCATCGACCTCCATGCTGGCCCCGGGGGCCAGGACAAAAACCAGCAATTCACAGGGCACAGTGTAAGCACGCCAGGTTTCTTCAACTCGTACAATTACGAGAGAGCGTATCAGTTTCTCGAATGGATGACCCGACTCAGGCACACGAACAACAACTACGCCAATGTGGGCGCTATCGAAGTCATCAACGAGCCTCGCCCCCAAACTTCAGCGGAGAAGGCCAGCCTTGTGAATGATTACTACCCGACTGCTTATAACCGCATCCGCGCGGTGGAGGACAGTCTGAATATCGCACAGAATGATCGACTCCACATTCAGATGATGGACACCCGATGGGGAGAAGGCAACCCGAAGCAGCATTGGGGAAGCAGTCCCTACTTCGCACTCTACGACGATCACAAGTACTTGCATTGGGATAACGGAGTGCCTGCCACTCGCCGTGATTACATGTATCATTCCTGTTATGACGATGTCGGCACTGGTAGCAACAGCAACGACAAACCTTTGATTGTTGGAGAGTGGAGTCTGTCCCCTAGAGACGAAGACAATTCGGAATTTGATATCAATCGGTCCGATGCAGTCGAATTTTACAAAAATTGGTTCGCTGCTCAGCTCAAAGACTACGAGAAAAGTCGAGGCTGGATGTTCTGGACGTGGAAGGTAAACTGGATCAACGGTCGTTTCGATTTTCGATGGGGTTATCAACAATCTGTTCAAGCTGGAGTGATACCCAGTAGTCCTAGTTTGGCCGTAGCCATGAATGCTTGTGCTCCCTATGGCGCATAGCAATTAATTACGACCGCTGGCTCTGAAAAGCCTCTACAATTGTTGGAATAAGCAGCTGGCGGTCGACATGTGTCCAGATGTGAGGCATTTAGGGGAGAAAGAGAGATCGCAGTCATAATCTTACCAAAAGTCTGATTTGTCTCGTCCTTTTTTCTTCCTCATGAGCCAAAGGATGGCATTTCTCGGTCAAACGTGAGAATAAATAAGCCTTACAGATTGACATATAAAACATCCACTCCAATCTGCTGTGTGTTGTGAAGGTTACGTGGGTATGAAACATCTTCTGGACGAAGAACTACACATAGGAGTGGTGGGACACTCAATTCCTTTGATTTTATTCTCTGAAACGCCGCTACAGGTTCTCTCTGTTAGATTTGCAACAATTTTCGATCATGCACCTTTTGCAGATCACGTAGTAACTGCAGAACACTTGGAGCCAAATGTTTCGTTGTTGGGAGCACAATTCGTGCAATTCAAACATCTGATGGCCACGACTATCCAGCTCAATGTGGTAGCTTTTTCTCCTCAATAAGCCTTTGCTATGATCGGATCCACCATTTTTGTAGCCGATGACGAAGAGTTGCTTGCCTTCACGAACGTCAGAAGAATGGCTGCAGGTTATAAAAATGTGCAATGTAAAACTTAAAAAAACGTGCAATGACGGGCTTTCTGTGACCCAAGTATTAAACAACTCATGAAGGAGAGAACTCAGGGTAGCATGTAGATCCATTTCAGGATGAAGGAATGACAGCAGATGAACGCGTGAAGGAACACACCAGTAAGTTGTCAATATCCACATATTAAAGACTTGTGAGCTGGACAGAAAGGTTCCCTCCAAGCTGACGAGCAGTTTCTGCTGATGTATGAGAACTCCACAAAGTCCAGGACAATCAAGTAAACCAGGATGCTGAGTCACAAACCCGAAGTTCGTAATTTTCAGCAACTGAAGGATCTCTTTAACTGACGCACTTCCGACATTTCTACGGAGGTTTATCAGGGATATTGAAATTCTATGACATCGCTTTACTTTTGAGAAGTGACCTCCCAGGACCCTGACCTCCAGTCACTTTGCTTCATCGAATCCCCTCAGAGCACACCAAAGTACGGTGCTATGGCACAGCTGCGAGCTTTCTCTGTCGTGCTGTGACTTGACTATCTAGGCTCGAAAGTGTCGTAGCTAAATCAGTTTATTCAACTCGGTAGAGTGAGCTAACTATGAGATGAGTATCAGCTTGGAGATTACAAGAAGTACATGAAATTCGGATCTTTTGTAAGCATATACCTCTTATAAATTTTGCCATTGTCTGCACGTGTCGATAATATCTTCCCCCTTCTTCAATTAGGTCGAGAATGGTCTTCAATCTGCAGTGAATCATCAGTCTTCCAGATATGTTAAATGCTGGATAGTTCATATTCTTATGGAGAAACGTTCAGCATTCAGATTTGAGAATGAAAGGCCTGACTTTTCAGGCAGCAAATGGCAAGTTATACAAGCAGACTGCTTAGCTTCGAGGACCATCGTCCGACAGGGCAAGACTGTAGCATCGTGGAGTCCAGCAATCGAAGAACAACTCCACTCATGTCCCAAATTAAGAAGTGGTCATCACCTTCGAAATTGCGCATCCATCCATCCAGTCGTAGAATCTCTTAAATACACCGACGGTTATCTTGTCCTGTGACCCGACACCCCATATTCGATGAGCTCCGTAGTTAGTACGTCTTTTTCGGTGATAATTACCGAACATCCGATCCACCATGCGCACCAAAGCGGGTTGCGATGAGCCCCGCAGCCAAACTCAGGTCCACCTTGCAGTTATGAGAAAACACATCAGATAAAACCAGAAATTGTCACTGTTCCTCTGTAAGAGATCAATGCATCGAGCTCACCTCCCCTTCACATAAACGCTTAACATCTGGAAACTCGAATAACTGTAAGAAGATAATAGATTCGAATTAAAGGATGAACTCATTTCCTTAATAGGAAGAATTGCTCGTTGCAGCTGTTGATGTTGAAATTGATCTAATCGGATCTGGATGCGCAGGGGCTACCTGAGAGTCACGAGCTGAAGGTGTTATCGCAGAAACCGCTGCTGCGCGCGAGCGTTGGAAGGTCGATCGAATGCCTCCTGGCTTACAGTTTGCGGAGGTATAAGAGGGCGAATGTGGGCATCGCCCATCTCAATTCAGTGTTCATCTTATTCTTACCACTCAAAGTTAAGGCTCTGTTTGTGGCGTTCACTGTATGACCTGGCCGGACTTTCCTCTGTTTTATTTCTCTCTGCCACGAGAACATTACTCCAGAGGTTAGAAAGCTACTAAAGTTTTTCCTTTTCTTCGCCCCTCACATTGCCCGAGTCACAAGTCTAGGGAAATCGGTTGCCTCGCCTCCATCGGAAAGCTTAGCGCCTGAATTTAGCGCATTTATAGAGCGCCAGCGTTCCATATAAGAAGATATAAAAATGTGTCCAATTTACTCTGCTCCATCGGTTCTCGCTCTAACACCACCAACAAAGACTACCAATGCATCTGCACGAATGAGATCGATTAGTCTTCTCTGCGATGGTGCCACGCCATGGCCACGAGATTTAGCTCGAATTCCAATTCAATACATCGGAACATTCTGTCTCGATTCTCGTATCCAACCTTACAGTGAGCCTATAAACTACGTGGAAGTACTACGTACTGCGTAAACCACGTACACTGGCGCAGTCGGAAGTACAGTACTTGCCTTGAGGCAAGAACTTCCGACTGCGCCAGCCATGAGCGACATCCACAGTCTGACTACGTAAGTGCAAGCGTTCGCGGTCGCTACGGAGGAGCCACTTTGGAAATCTTGAGGGATTTGAGCATGCGAGCGTTCAAGAGTTGTATATGTGTATATGATAATAAGGTTGCAATGTGAGTATTTGGAAGGTAGGAAACTGGTGTAACGTCTGAATTTCTACTAGTGCAGTCTTGTTGTGTTGGATATGTTATGTTTACAAAACACTCAAAGAAAAAAGGAAAAAATTAGAGTGCATTCAATCATCTAAAAGCTTATCTAATAATCAACCACTTCTTCTAAAAATTGCAAACAATTCTAATATAATATAGCTAATATGATTTAAATTCTTTAGAAGAATTTTAACTCATAGAAAGGGTGTGAAGTTTAGAAAATTTTTTCCTTCTTATAACTCAATACGTCATTCAAGTACATGTACTCAAGAGCTATCCTTTTGAGTATCTTATTTGTTTAAAATCAAATATCTTGTTAACATTTCAATAACCCCAACTCGTGACTCAATACATGACCCATATACCTTTAATACGTTCTTTCTATTAGGATTTATTTTATTGATATCAAACACCATTTTGTTTAAGTTTTTCAACAATGGTATCATTATGTTCTTAGGGTTTCACACAAGCTACAACATCAATCTTTCAATCTTAATCCTACCTTTCACTGGGTCCAAGTCATTTGTTGGTAGACCCAGACAATATACTGTACATCCTCATGCTCAAGTTATGTGTGAACTCAAAAAGACATATTTCAAAGAGCACAAAACATTTCTTTTGAATTCAATCAAATAAGATTGAACATAATAAGATTGAAATATCTTGTGATCAATCTTCGCATTTCATTCTTCTTCACTAAACTAAGTTCTCAGTCAGCACATAGCCGTAATTACTCAATGAATATCATCATACTTATGCTGTCCGCTCTGATGCTGGTATCAAGGGAAAAAAAAAAACTCGAAGTCAACTTTTTGGTCAAAGATGTTTAAGCATCTTATGAGTTGCATGCTTCTTTCCCATTCTATTATTTTCACATCTCTCAAGAACTTGCTTTTGATGTCCAGAATAATGTATGAAAATCTCCATACCCATACAATTTCCATCTCCATTTTTAATAGGTCAACTCTTTGTTCTTGCAAACAATATGTGTCTTGCATTTCTTCTCCTCCCAGTCACACTTAAAACATAGTGACTTGAATTGGTAATATCTTCAAGAATAGGATTATAATTCTTCTGCCAAATATTGTTTCCAGTTTCTTTTATGCTCTTGAGCAACCCGAGATCTTACACTTAGAATAGAGATCTCTTCAAAACTTGTTTTAAACATCTCATCCATCTAGCTCTTTCATGGTTCAACCATGTCTGCGCAGGTAATCCTTTCCCTTCATGATTAGCGCTTCTTACTTTTTCACCTAGTCATCTTCATAGAGATCCGCAATACTCATATTAATATTAACCTAGTCAATACGAATGTTGACATTTAAGACGACAGGATCATCTTCAAATCACATCAAGGTCGCTCGTGTTAAATGATTTTGATGTAGTACATTATAGAAATGTCCTCCTTGGGATACTATTTAAGATTGTCTTGCTTTTTGAATATACATGGTATATTTTGAACAAACCTTTGGAAGCAATAGCAGACACGATAGGAACTTAATGGCAGAATCGCAATTTTTGTAACGCTTACAGAGACCATATTATACAATTATTACGATAGAAACGTGTTGTGCAACACTTGATATATCTGAATATGGTAATTGAAGTCAATAATATAATTAACTCCAAAAATGATGTGATTTTTTCATCTTGTTACTTATAAAAATTAGTCAAATCATGGTCAAAGGAAATTCTCTCAATAGAATGATGATCTCCCAAAATATAACGAGAAATATTTGATTTGCAAATGACTGAATATTTCTATAATAGTAATCTCTTAATGTCACTCTAGATCATCACAAGTGAATATGTGATAATTATTTAATTTGCAATTCATGAAACTTTAAAATAATTTGTAAGGAAATTTAGACGGGATTTATTTCTATTATTCACAAATTACTCATACTATTCGATATTTGATATCTTCGTTGAAAGGTAAGATTATACTTTGAAAAATTCCATTACTGTTTTGATTCTTATTAAGAAATAGAAAGATTATATTTGAAAAAATAGAAAACATGCACAGAAAACTTAAATATTGGTACGAGAAGTTAAGGTCTTTATTTTCTTGTTCCATCAATAATGTCTTGATTTTAATTTTCTTGATAAATTATAACTTTGTTCTATCCGTAAGGTATTCTCATGAGAGGAAAAACATAAAGGATTATATTCTTTCACAAGGATGAAATGTGAGAGTATCGTAGGCTTTTTGATCAGTTTTTAAATATCACCCACTTTGAATGCAGAGAGGAGCAGTAGAGCTTTGTGATATCTCATCGAACGACGATGACGTATCCATCCGGACTGTCAAAAGGTTTTCTTCCAAAAGTGAAATCATGGCACTAGAAGAAATAGTACCCGATCAGTCCATGGAGGGAGGAAGTCGTAATCCTTGACTCGATGGAGAGAAGACTGACCACGCACTGCTCTTGAGGATAAAGATAGATGTACGTTGATGGAGGTTTGTACATGAGCAAGACGATGAATGATGATGTAGTGACTTAATCAGTCCTTTGCTTTTGGTCTGCAAGGTAGCGTCATTTGCTGGATCGAAGTAGATGCAATGATGTCATAAATTTGCCCGCCAACAACCCGAAAAACGTCATCGAGAAACTGCAGACAATGAGGTTTGCAGTGATTCAACTATCTGATAATTCATTCCTTTATTTGTTCAAAGCCTCCCGTGACACAGCATCTGAACCAGTTACCGCTGAGAGACTTTTTTAATGCTTTGAAGCTAGTTCTTCTGACCAGAGTAAGCCGACCAGTTAATGACAGAATAGTTTGCTCGCTCGAACATCTCGACAGCGGTTCTCCAGCTGCAGGAATGTGTCGACTTTTGACAAACTCCATGTTGAGCCTTCTGAAACCATCAGCCTTGATGTGAGACGACAGATTTGGCCAAGCCACTCTGCCCATGTTTGGTTGCTGGAGTTCAGCAACTAAGTATCTGTTCTTCCTGTATGCCCTGACTAGTGCCTTGGCGAAGTTATGGGTTATGGGGCTGGAGAGCGTGAGCAGAATGAGCCCGGGCAGGTGCCCTGCCTCCAAAACTCCAGCGAGTTCTAGCAAATGCTGCTCCTGTAACTCCACCCCTTTTAAATCAAGGATCTGCAAAGGTTCCAGAGTTTCGTCATGAGATTCAACGATCGACATAAAATTGCTGGTTTATTCGACATCACTGCGTCTCCGACTGAGGTGTGGCTAGAAAGCTAAATGAGTGTCGGAGTGTGTTGCAACAACAAAGAATCACAATGATGTCGTTGCCAGCTTTCTTGTCACCATCGGGGAGTGACGACCATTTTAACAGGTTTGGATAAAAATCAGAGATATTCACCTTTAAGCTGCTGAGATTTCCCGTTTTGAAAGCCCCAAAAAGGGCCTCGGCCAGAATTCCATCTTTGGCTTTGGAATGAAATCCGATAGGGCTGAGGGTCGGTCCACCTTCAATGTCTTCGAATTGGACTCTCAACTCGCCCAAGGAAGAAAAGTGCGGTTGTTGGAGAGCAATGCCGATAGCTTTGGCCTCTTCCTCCCCGATGGAGCAGTTTCTGAAGTGAAGCGACCTTAAGACTACCAATTGAGCTGCTTCCAGCGCTCGCATGATTCCCGCCACTCCTTCCTGACTGATCTCCTTCGATCTTTCAAGACTGTTTCCCCAGTTCGACCATGGAGCCCTGACCCAATTCAAACTCAGCTCCTCCAAAAGCCACAAATTCCCTGACTGAAATGCCGCCGACAGAGCTTCCACTCCCTGTCGTCCAACTACACCTCCTTCCTGCCAGCATCCTCCCAGAGCCAAAGATTTCAACGCCCGAACGGAACCTGAGCAACACCGCCAGAAATTCAACAACACATCTTCTCAAACTTGTGTCTACAGCCAATGCTAACGATTCTGAATCATAAGAGATCAGCTAGTTGCAGAGGTCATGAGAAGGGAGAAAATGTGGCGGCAGGAAATGAACCGGGGTTGAGCTTGCTTATGACTACATGTGCAGAGCACTGGTATCGTCAACATGACACAGGATAAGAAAATCAGAAAGCAGAGGACTCTGCGCTGCATGATGGACATCACGGAAATGGTTTATAGATGTGAAACTCTTAGAGGCGTATTCTGGAATCTGGAGACCTTGAGTTAAGACAAGGACCCTCCCAGGTGAGAATATCACACAGATATGAATGCCCGTGCACATGGAGAGCATCGATGTCGATTTACATCGAGGCTGTTGAGTTGTACCTGATCCCAATGCAGATGCCAATGTAGCCACTTGGTCATCTCCGAAGAGTCTATCTATGTAGTAGAGCTCTCGCAAGTTCGACAAATTGCCTGTCTCTATGGCCGTGGCTACATCCGACATTCCTGTGCTTCCAATTTCATTTCCTGACAGATCCAGGGCTTCAAGGCGAGGACAAGACCTTTTTTGAAGCGCCCTTCCCAGGGCGCTTATTCCTCCATCGCCGATCCTGGCAGAAGTCAGAGACAGACTACTAACCTCCGGAAGTGTCAAGTGCAGGAACGCCTGCACTTCCGAGTCACTCTCTGACGTCCAATTTTCCAGAATTTCTCTGATGGACGGAAGCTCCCTCATGGTTGCCATGAATGTGCCCTGAAGCTCCCACACCTGTGCAATGGGCGACAGATTATTGCTAGTACTTTTAACTTCAGTCTGCAAAACTCTGAAGCACCTTGAATTGATGGTGGATGCCCAGAGCTCGTAATCCAGTAGTTGCGAGGGTCGATGAACGAAGGGCGGCCTGGCTGTCACTGAACTTGAAAGCACAGAGGAGTGGAGACTGTCAACAGGTGACGAGGACTTTCGCGTGAGGAGAAGGTAGAACAAGATAGGGAAAGCGAATCGTTTCTTGCCGTCACAATGGGCCTCGAGGCACAGCTGGAATCGATCTGCAGTTCGAGCAATCAGAGAGTTGCAGGATCTTTGTCGACAGACACTCCCGAAGAGTTGTATACTACTCTAGCATATTGAGACAAGTGCCTTCGGCTTAACTTGCCCAAAGTCAATGCCACACAGTGACTCAGTCTCAAGTGGGGAAGTCATTGGCACGATCGCACTTCACTGAAGAAGACCAGAGAGAGGAACGCAGTATCCGTCGCTCCCTACACGTGACAGCTTCGAATCGACATCCTCGAATTCATTTACCATATCTTGCTATGTCCTCTCCTGGAGTTTCGTCTGGCACAGTACTGGTCCCCCACATGCTCAACACTGTATGCCGGAACTCTTCCCGGAGCTCACGCATGAAGGTCAGATACAAAGTTACAGAGTGCACCGATTTGCATTTAAGGCATTAGAAAATGCAAATCGCTAATGCCAATCTGTGAATACGAGATCATGTGCCAGGTTTAGGAGGCGTAGACAAGGCCATTTGTTGTAAGTTGTTGGAATTTTGGGTTGATGGCTTCATGAGTGTCGTGGTTAAGTGCCCAAGGAGGACCACAGGTTTGAATATGCCAATTTTATCCTGTCTGCATGCTGGGTACGTACGCCTCGAGGCCCGGCGGGACTGCTGTACTGCATAATCAATCGACACGGGAATAAATGAATGAATGCTCTGGAGGGCCATCATCACAGAGGTCGCTCTCGAGGGAAATATGGGAGGATGAAACTCTTCTTTCTTGGCTCGTGTTTCATACTTTTCACAGCGTCCACACCAAGGCTTCCACCAAGAGCAACGCAAGCTTTGTGCCTCATCAATTGCCGCGATCTTTTACAGGACTGAGCGCAGGGGATAATTCGTGCTATTTCGTGATTCGTCTAGTTGCTCACGTGGGGTCGACCACGTATTCTCTCATTCTGAATTTGTTGCTGTAGGTCGATTCTAACCTTCCGGAGATCTTGCTGTGAAGCTCTATAAACGTGGGACCCAAACGAATCACATGCATACAGTGAGATCTCGATCCGAATTGGAAGAATATCGTTTAGACACAGAATTGCTTCTAGATCGATGTTCGGATTAGTTTCCTGGGCAAGGAATATGTAAGGGGGAAGTTACATTACCTACATAACAGAGGGGTAAATCTAGTTCGTGTTCATTCCTCTGGCACGCTCACGATTGAAACATTTGCTCCAGTTCGGAGTCTGTCTTGTCGAGAGCTTCGAGCTGGTTCATAAGGTCGTAGGGATCTTGGTCGGCCATTTCCTCGACATTCGGAACTGCTGGCAGAAGCTTAGGCCACCTGAGGCAACTGATGCTTCTGCATTGGCAATCTACAGTTGCGTTTGTCGAAAGGCATGTGAGTAGCACAACAAGACAACCTACCGATGCGATATCAGGCTCTCGTCACTGGTCGATTCCTCCAGAGATCCACAGAGCAAGACAAAGACAGAGCGCATGCAATGCCAGAAGAATTCCTGAACTCCTGGATGGGCACCCTCAGATGTGTTCGACATTGTCGAATGTACTCTTTACGCTACGAGCAACACTCTTCACGTTCAAGCTCCTCTTCGTTCTCTGCAGCTCGGATCTCTCCCTCACCGTCCGTCGATGGCAGAGTGAGTGAGTTCGTTAGATCTAGACTGCACTGGAGTGAGTCCATTTGTGGATTCGCGAATCTTGGGTTCCGTTCCAGACAAAGCGACCTACGCATTGCCCAGGGACTAGACCTCTTGCTGATGAACGAGACAGGGAAACAGTGCAAGCTCACGACTCGCATGGCCGTGAGACAACTTCCCCTGCGCAGGCAAATCGACAACCATGCCACTGTTTGGAAGAAAGTAATTCTTGTAACGAGCATCGAGAGCACTTTTAACTCCCATCGTCTGGCGTGAGAGCGTCAGTGTCGGCTGTCATACCTTTTGTAATGCTCGGAAGTCAACCGTCGCGTTGGACGTGAACTCTCTGCGTAATCTGTAGGTAAACTTGTGGTCACACGACACCGATTCCCATTGCCCCAAACTGTAGACAAGATGCTGAGCTTTGAAAGGTCTTCGAGACGTAGTCAAGATTTGACTACAACCTGCAACATCCTCCGTCGAAAGGGTTATTCCAAAAGGTTTGCACGATTCATCCATTCATCTTCATAGACCAATATTATTCATAGGTGGCAAAAGTGTGATCTAATCGTGGTGTTCTTTTCGGGCGGCCGCTGTTGTGACGTACTCAAAGCGTACTACAGAGTGTGAATTCGGTCTGAATGAATCTCCTAGGCTGACTTTATGAGATCCGTCACCTTTAGATCGATCGAAGGACCTCACTCATAAAAGTATCAGATTCTTTCTCCACGGCTTCAATTTTGTTTTTGGCGGTTTCACTGCGATGTGGAATCTTGGAGCTTTTGCGGTTTCAAATGAAGGTGACGTATTTCGACTGAACAAAGCTTACAAATCATGAGAGGCACTCTCTGTGAAAAGTGACTTCGGTTGATTCGAAGAGATTTTCTATGACAAGAGTCTCCATTAACTACGATTTCCACTTATGCTGATTAGCTTATGATCCGAGCTAATCATGTGGCTCCCAACATGATTCTTGCCCAAGAAGGTCCAATACCAGCACAACAGTAATTCCAGCACTGAGACTGAAGAAAGAACATCAGTTGCGAAGAGCGTAATTCAGTTGGACATACTCGATTAATGTAACTGTTGCTGATTTGCACGATTCACATCACTCGAATTTGTGGCTAACATTTGCCTACCGAGGCCGGAACAAACAGAGCGTAGACAACGGCGTCGTCCAAACTAGAAAGGCAATAACGAACGTGCGTGCGCTGCCTTCCCAACTCTGAAACAAGATTTGTGTGAAACTTAGTTTTTGTCCAAACACTCGTCTGAAGATGTGATCGATGTCCCTCAGAATTGATCCCTGCACTTTCTTCAATTTGGGTTCGAATTAGCGGTACGCGATAGTATTGTCGCAGCTTAACCCGAACCTCGCCTCCGTCTGCTCCTTACAGGAGATGTGTATGTACCAAAAAAAGAGTGCCAAACAAAGCTAACATCAAGTTGCATTCAACGATTGGATCTAGCGTCCATATTCCAGTCAAGCATATGGTTGTGGATAGTTGTACTTATGTGACTTTTGAATGTCGATATTTGACATGTTTTCATTCGTTGTATCATATGTGATGCTAAATAACAAAATGTTACTTGAAATTCAAATAATTTGAGATAATACTTTTTAAATAATGATAATTTGAATACTTCATAATAAATTTGATGTATAAATGATAGATTATTTTAAAAAAATTCAAGGTTAATCTATATAATCATCAAATGATATAAAATCAGATTTTGTATATAATTTTCAGTCATTATACTTTTTAAATTTTGACATAATTTCTATACATTTCAAAATTTTCTAATGATATATCCTTATTAATTGGATTCAAATCGCTTTTATGTAGTAACTCTATTTATGATTTTTCTCATATCATACTTTCTATATATCTATCATACATTTCTACTATTGGAAACATTGTATAACTTACTTTCAGTCAATTATCTACTGCGATAATGTGATGATTTAAGTAGATACGTTATCTGATACCTTTGAATATAAATAGCGGAATAAAATTATTTATTTTCACACAATAACTATATTAAATAATTGAACAATTTTGTCACTTGAATCATATGGGTGGTAAATATAGTATAAAAACATGCCAGGAACTCTATCTTGACCAATAAAAATCACAAGTCTTTCTTACAGTTACGTATGCGAACTTCGAGCAAAATAGTGATGCAAATTCAAATCGTTGAATATCTTGCAATCTGAATCTTACAATACCCCTCATACTTTTGATTAGAATATATAACTAGATTAATCATACGAATGAATAATTATTTTAATAATGGAATTCACGGCAAAATAGTTTAGACGTTTCTAGTTTGCTGCATGTAAAACTATGTCTTGTATCTCATTGTAGTTTCAATGAATCTCTGGTTCGTGGTACTTTAGGGACGTACTACTGAATACTGCTGAATTCGAACCATGCCTTGGAGGGTTTGTGGTAGATATTCGTTTGTACTTCACGATAGACCGGTAGTTTAAATTGACTAGAGTTCCAACAGTAAAGGCAAAGACTCTGAACTGGATACTGAATTCCCATAGTTTTGAGGCTCTTCAGGCTACTACTTGTAGATACGATAAGAGAGACCATAAGAAGAAATACAATGTAATAAAAAAAATATAAAAAATAAATTGATTGATCGATTGTCTAGAATAACGACAGACATTCATTCCGATTATCTTTAACATTACGTGCTATTATGCGTGTGTTCAGAAGGATTTTTCTATCGTTCCGAGTTGATATGCTTACAACAGAGATTTTCCCATCAACATTACTCTTCTTATTTGAAACGTAAATGTGTTATTTCATTTATAAAATCATACCTCAGTTTATATGCCACCGAAACCTTCAGCCTCTTGATGCACCTACACGGGATCGTGTGTGGTACATGAATATGACAATGAGATCCAGAATGACTGCTTTCAAGTTGCAGAACATGTAGCTGCTTTGTTTCGGTGTATAACGGCTGTGTACAAACTATCCGATTTCCATTCTGACACCTGTGTGAGTACATCAAACCATACATGATTGGTTCTTGTGAAAGTGTTTGGTGCTGGTACAATCTGTTCATGGTTTTAGTCAAAATATACACAGTGAAAAGTGATCGAGATATCCGTTCACAGATCTCAATTCCTCCGAGCCTTTCCTCAGTTCACTCAGTTCAAGATAAGCGTATCAATTATCTCCTGCATAACCAAATCAAAACTGTGCTACGTTCTTCATTGAGCATGAACGCTCAATCTTCTTGATGGTTAATTTGACGAAACAAAAATCTATACTGTTTCTCAAATTAAAATTACGAGATTCTAGCATTCTTCTCTTAAACGAGGTGATTTTCAGTTACTACTAGGGACTCCTACTGAAAGCGACTCAATACATAGATCTCCCAACTAAACTGGGGTTTGAGAAGACAAAATAGAGTTCTGCAATAGATTCATTCGCAAGTCTGATCGTATGAGTTCGTTCTGTTCTATACAATTATCAAAGAAGTCCTTGGACTGGTCTTACTGTCCAAGCTGTCTGATCTGTACTTCTCCTCAAGATTAAGATCTGCTCTTAGTGCCCACTAGCCAGATCTGCTTCCTTGCTCGTCAACGACGGATCCGTGATAAATATCGTCATGTTTGAAGCACAATCTTCCCAGACCCAACTTGCACAAAGATCCGCATTGTCTCCTCATGCCATG